TACATGAATGGCTGCTTTCGATGACTATCTCATACAAGCGGGGCGATCTTCACAAGCACACGAGCTCTGTTGCGGCTTTGACCAGAGATGATGTTGCCATGGAGAAAGCCATGCATACCCTTGAAGGCAAACAGCCCGACGTTGCAACATCCATGCAGGAGATTCAAGTAGACATGGGCATTGAATTGGACAAGGGTGGCCAGGGTGACAATGTGACTGACGTGACTCATGATTTCCTGAGTGTCAGGAAGTTATGCGATCCTGAGTTGAAGCCGTCCGTTCTTTGCATACACAAGGGATCCTTCAACACCTTTGTGAAGCTTGGTGCATCTACACCGGGCCTGTGTGGCATCATGCTGGGAAAGAAAGCTTGGAACGGCAAGGTTCATGTCACAGCCATACTTCTTTCTACAGATTCAGTGGAAACAGTGTTGACCAACCAAAGGCTTGAAGAGCTATGCGAAAGGAATCACCTGATAGCTTGTGGTATCATGCTGAATGGGTCTCATGGCGAGTGGGCCAAACGTATCCATCAAATCTGCCGTCATTTTCCTCTTTGTGACCATCCTTTGGTGATTTGCGCCGACTACTCTGTGGATGAGGTAGGTGATGTGGCTTGTTGGGAAGTGGACAACACGTCAACCACCGAGGAGGTTTCAGATCCAGTACAACTTTCCTGGACGACCCAACCACATGAACAGAGGCGCCGTCTGCACTACACTATCTGTTGGCTTGCTGATTTCCAGAAGAGCTTCATGGATGATGCTACCAGCAAGATTTGCGAGGCTGTGGTTTCCCACATTCAGAAGACAACAGCAGCTGCATCACTAGGTCCAATTGTTCATGACGCATTCCATCGACTGGTGACAATTCAAGGTGGTGGCCTTTGTGGATGGCATTCAATGATAGCTGCTGCAGATCTTGCAAAGTATGAGGCAATTCCGAGGTCTGACAGTGGTTATCCATTGAATCGTATGATGCTACAACAACAAGTGTCCAGTGCAAAAGAGTTGCATATCAAAACTTGCAATGATGCGTTGGAGCATTGTGACACCAAGTATCATGAAAGCATTCGCCGAGTTCTGGTGGAACCTGCTTTTGATCCTTTGGACCTTGAGTGGATATCTACAGCTACTGGGTTGTCGATTCGCTGCACCTTAGCCAAAGAGGCACATATGTTAAAAAATATATTTATCTTGTTTTGTATTTACATATGTGTGCACATATAGTACATGTATATATAAAGATATGCATAATTATATAGATATATACACATACAGGTATGACTGGATGAACAGTTGACCAAGGGTTCTAACTGTGGATGCTCACAAAGGGTGAAAGCTTTTCCATTTGTATGCCTGCACAACTCTTATATAGTGAATGATGAGAATACATACATTGATTATATATAATATAATTGCGGATCACTAATTCTCAACCATACCCATGTATATAATCCTATGTGTGTGTATATATAATATATATTCATAAATTCAAGCCAATCCCTGCAGGCGGGATGCTGTGATGATGGGAGCAAGCTGGACATAGTCTTTGGCCGGCAACCTGCTGATGTTCATCTTTACTTCCACTTCCCGGGCTCCCACGCGAATGAGAAAGTCACATTTGCTCACTATTCTCTTTTGGTGCCCATATCCAAGATGTCAGCATGCAAGCCCAAACAGCGTCTATGTCTTGCTGAAAGTGTTGCTTCGTTTGCAAACAGATTGCTGTGAACATACACAGTGCATGTCTGTATACATACATGCATGCATGCATACATACATACATACGTGCGTACGTACGTACATACATGCATGCATGCATACATATTTAGATACCGACAACAAATACTATTCATATTTGTGAGGTGCATTTATTTTTTGAACGTAGAAAACGGCACAATACCTTTCAGAAACACCCGCACATGGAACCCATTTGTGCTTGTGTATCTTGTGTTTTTCAATCTACACATTTATATATTTGTGAAGTTACTGTATCTCACCATATATCTTATTTCTCCCGTCACCTATCCAGAAAAGCCCAAGGTGCCGCCGGGGCACCATGCAAAGAGCATGGAGTTTCTTCTCAATAGCCAGAAGATTGACATGCTGACGGATCTTGCAACGGCTGACAATCGAGATCCACCACGAGAAAACAATCATACCACCACAACATACAAATTGTTTGACACAACTACATGGGCATGCCTAGCCAGCAAAATGGCAACTGACACTCCAAAGAAGCAAGCACCAAAACAGAAACGCGAACCAGATGATGTAACGTGGGGAGGTGTGTCAAAAGATGCAGCCGAACGACTTATGGAAGGCCATGCGGTTACCTCAGCACAATTGGGTATTACAGAAAGCAAATCATCACCAAACAAGTACGTGGACAACAGACAACATGCAGCAGCGATTGCTGGGATGTTCCAGATTCCATATACTGCCAAGCCTACAGACACCAATGGCTCACTGGCTGCTGCACCATCACACTTAGAACCCACCAAGCACAACACACAAAAGCAAACAGCAGCATGCGCCACCGACAGCACACAGCACCAGACAAGCCAGCAAGAAGCTCCAACAGAAGCAGCCGAGCAAGCCCAGCAAGCAGACAAACCAATGACTGCAGAATGTGAGGCGAGCGTGCGTTCACAAGCACAGGCAACATGTGCGACAGCTCCAAACACAGAAGCAGTGCCAGCTCTGGAAGCTTCACAGTTAGAACCCACCACACACAACACACAAAAGCAAACAGCGAAAGCAATCACAGCATGTGCCACCGACAGCACACAGCACCAGACAAGCCAGCATGCAGCTCCAACGGAAGCAGCCAAGCAAGCCAAGCAAGCAAACAAACCAATGACTGCAGAATGTGAGGCGAGCGTGCGTTCACAAGCACAGGCAACATGTGCGACAGCTCCAAGCACAGAAGCAGTGCCAGCTCTGGAAGCTTCACAGTTAGAACCCACCACACACAACACACAAAAGCAAACAGCAAAAGCAATCACAGCATGTGCCACCGACAGCACACAGCACCAGACAAGCCAGCATGCAGCTCCAACGGAAGCAGCCAAGCAAGCCAAGCAAGCAGACAAACCAATGACTGCGGAATATGAGGCGAGCGTGCATTCACCTGCACAGGCAACATGTGCGACAGCTCCAAGCACAGAAGCAGTGCCAGCTCTGGAAGCTTCACAGTTAGAACCCGCCAGACACAACACACAAAAGCAAACAGCAAAAGCAATCACAGCATGTGCCACCGACAGCACACAGCACCAGACAAGCCAGCATGCAGCTCCAACGGAAGCAGCCAAGCAAGCCAAGCAAGCAGACAAACCAATGACTGCAGAATATGAGGCGAGCGTGCATTCACCTGCACAGGCAACATGTGCGACAGCTCCAAGCACAGAAGCAGTGCCAGCTCTGGAAGCTTCACAGTTAGAACCCACCACACACAACACACAAAAGCAAACAGCAAAAGCAATCACAACATGTGCCACCGACAGCACACAGCACCAGACAAGCCAGCATGCAGCTCCAACGGAAGCAGCCGAGCAAGCCCAGCAAGCAAACAAACCAATGACTACAGAATATGAGGCGAGCGTGCATTCACCTGCACAGGCAACATGTGCGACAGCTCCAAGCACAGAAGCAGTGCCTGCTCTGGAAACTTCACAGTTAGAACCCACATCAAGATCAACAAAAGTTTGCAGCGAAGATATTTTGCGCCAACAAATTGTGGCAGACCTCCTTGCACGACTGGAGGCGCAAAAATCACAAGGGGCAAACACTGAAATGATAGAGATGTTGCAACAAAGGATTAGATGCAAATCTCCCAAGCAAGAACATCAGCTCCAGCATGTGAAGCAGGAACACCAAACAACAAGCCAGCAGAAACTTCCAACAACAAGCAGTCCAGACGTGATTTTGCTGGATACACCACCAAGATACGGTGAGAGGAAACATTATTCGAAAAAAGAGCTTCATGTTAAGCAAGAGCCTGCTCAAGCAGAAACATCGAATATCAAAGAAGAACCATGCTCAGCAAAGCGCAAAGCCAGTGACATTCACAAAAGCGGAGAGCCACACACACCCAAACAAGGCCTCAGCCGCATGTGGCGACAGCACGCAGCAAAGAGTGCGCACAGAGCAAGACAAGAGTTTCAAAGAAAACGTCCAAGCTGGTCGAAAAGAAATTTCTCGCCAGAACCCTTGCAGAAAGATCTAGCGCTGGCAGCAAACATTTTGGATGAGATAGCAGAAGAACGTCTTGCCAAAAGACAACGCGGAGAAGAGCCACAACAACTTCCACAAGAGGAACCAGACAAAGAGCAAACGGTGAATTGTCTCATGATGCGTGAAAGTCAATTTGAGAAAATGAAAAGAACAAAGACCCTCCTGCAAACCTACAGTATCAACGGCAAACATTTGCCTATGGAGATCTTCATCATTGCCAGCGTTGACAACGGAAGCAAGTCGGTATGTGTTGGGAAATGTGCCTTGACAATATGAAATTGGTTGGTTTTCCAAAAGCATTTTTGTAAACCAACTCGCATGTACCACATCGGGGAGACCATTGTATCCTTAAATTTGGAAACTTATTTCGATGGAAAGCATCTGGCTGTCAGCATATCTGGATGCAGTTCCTGTTTGGTAACCACTGTATATGTATATATCGAGCCCACAAATATATATATATATCCGTTCACTTCCTGGCAAGGTACTGTGGTATCTTGCGCTCGGCTTCACCACATAAAGCAGCTACCTCCTGATGATGATCGCATATCGCTTGTTGGTTGGAAATTCAGATTGAGGGACTCGTTGCCAGTGTGGTTATGGACGGTCAGCATCACCGAGGACATTGAAGCATTTCAGGTGAGGCTTACACACCAGAGGTATCGAAACCGTCACTTTGTGATGACACTTGCGGATCTGAAAGCTGGTGTGAATGTACATCCTCCGGAGCAACCATCATTGTTCTATACCAGTGAATATTTCATGAAGATGCTGTTGCCATCTGACTTCCAGACCTTGCAAGTCACTGCTGAACATTTGGATGGGAGATCAATTCATCTTGGAACAACCTGTTCGGGGACTGACATCGGTGTCACTGCTGTGAAGAGCATGCTGAAGAAGCTAAATCGTACTTTTGGTGTGTCTTGGCGTCAAGCAATAATTTAGGTTAAAAGATTGATTCCATCACAAAAATGTAAATGATCATATTTGATTTGATAAATATCCTTTATATACATCTACAAGGGGTTCTAAGTGTGCAGCCCCACAACCATTGGGATGAACCATGGCAATCATAGTGCAAGGTCAAGATTGGCTTGACATGATGAACGCATTCTCGACATCAAACCGTGATGTCAAAAGATCACGTCGTCACTCAATGTCTTCAGTCATTACAACATGGTCAAGCGTAAACATAACATACAAGGGGTTCTAACTGTGGATTCTCACAAGCAAGGGTTCAACCACGACAATTGCCGTGCAAGGTGAAGATTGGCCTCGTGCATACTTTTAGCTGTGAACTCGATCCAGACAAACGTCAATACATTCTGGACGCTTTCGATGAAGTGCAACACGTTTTCGATGACGTTCGATCATTCTCCAGTGGCTCAGCCTGGTGCTACGTGTGCGGCAAGACGCACAGCACATCGAATCTGCCTTTGGACCTCCTTCTGTGTGGGCCATCATGCAAAGATGTGAGTTCCTTTGATTTATATAGAGTAAGCATTGTTTTAAGGGTTTCTCTTTTCCCTGGGTTTGCTATTCCTAAATAATGGTTCCTTTGGGATTTGTCCTCAAGATAAAAGATATGCTGGACCATGTATATACCATTCAGTGTTGCGACAGGCACGGAAAATCCGGGCCGGGCATCCTATGGAGGGTGCTACTCGGATGGTGACAAGGATGAAGATGGCACTTCGGGACCTACTTACAAGCATGGTTTTCGCGGAGTTCTTTGGCTGATTCAAAAATATTTCTGTACGTTATTTGTGTATTCTGAAGTTTTGTGATCACCCGAAGAACCTGGTGATATATATATATAACAATACACATAATATGCATATTGCAGCACGTACAAATATATACTGTATATATATATATACATGTATTTATATACATATATATATATATACATATATATATGTGCACACACATACTTTTTCTACGCATTCGGACCATGCTGGTGCCATCACAGGTGGTCCAGATCCTACAGCCTATTGCCGCAATTTACGAGAATGTGCAAGGAGCTGCTCAGTGCACCAAGTCGAAAGACAAGAAGACGACGCACCCACCAGCTGTGGAGGTGTCTTGTCTTCAGCATATCTCGACAAGAATGTCTATATACAATATATATATATTTACATATTTGAAAGATGTGCTGGATGCAACCATTTAGAACAATGTTGGTTTCAACATCTTGAAAACAGCAAAAATACGTATTGTCAGTTTTTGTCGTATATACATATGTACAAATTTTTGAGCATGCATATGTATGTATATATATATGAGTGTGTGTGTGACCTATTCTCATCCAAGGGGTTTCCGTCCCGGCTATCCAAATTGAGGTTGTGCAGGAGGATATGGAAATGCTGGGATATGAGTTTGTTCCTTGGATCGCAAAGAGGTTCTAACTGTGGGTCGGCCACCAACCGTTGAGACAAAAACTATGTATATGTAGTGGAAAGAGAAATGATGCATATATATATATATATATATCTATTAACTTATCCAAAACCAATCAATGATTAACATCAAGCCTTGGGAACTATACCTCGGACAGGCATATATCAGCGTGGTTCTCATTCAAAACTATGTCGCTCACCCAGGCAACACCTTCTACTCATACATACAGACACACACACATACACACACACACTGCTTAGGTTGATTTGATGATGATGAGAGTAGAACTTGCCGTCGCCTGATTTCCTAAGTCACCTTCGATGGGGCACGGTTGCAAACGGTGAAATTCGGGCAATCGATTCTTGCCAAAGGACTCAAAAACAAGGTAATAGAACAGCTTGTGCAAAAGTTCGAACCAACATTGCAGGTACGCCAACCCAGCGTCCCAGGTTGATATCACTGTGACATCAGAAGCGTCTTCGTTGGCTGGAGACTTCTGATTCACACTCCAGCCCCCTGCATGTCTGAATTAAAATTCAGTTCTTATTGTCGCCACATATTGTCTTCACACACACACACACGCGTACCCATACAGACCTGCACCAATACCAATCACATACATACGTACACATACACATACATACACATACATGCACATAATCAAATATATTATATCTTGTAGATATGTATATAGATTCTTTTGAATAAGGTTCTAAGTGTGTCTTTCTGCCAGGGTGTGCCATTTTCATGCACCATCGAGGTCTGGACTGTTCTCGATTCTCAAAAATTTCTCCTACGGCAACGGAGGAATAGAGTTTGGGGATGTGCTCAACTGAATGTCGGCATTGACAAGGGCATCTACGCTGATACCTTTCATCGGGTCCTAGCTAGCTTGCAATCGGATGTTCACTTCACCATGGAAGCCAGCTTCAAGCAGGGATTGCCAAGGGTTCCAGCGAGCACGGAACGGGAGAAAGAACTTCTGGAAAGGTCTTTGCGTCACTACCAAGCAACTCGGCATTTATTTGAGACACTATACCCCGAATCATATCCTCCTGGTAGTATACGTGTATATGTTACATATGTTACATTTGCACCTAGCATGTTTCCTTTTTTCACAAACCATGCGCGCACATTCCTTGGATCTAGTTGAGGCATCTGGAAGCGACAATGTATTCTTCGATGCTTCCACTTCCGTGTCCAGAAGTGAATCACAGATCGAGTGTGCGCTGGATGTGGCGACGTGTGTGCGTCCAACACATGGCATTTATTCTGTCAGACTTGGCCGGTATCTACATGCAGAGGAGCTGCTGGCTTGCCAAGGCATTTGGCGAGTTGACAGTGAAAACATGCAGGTTTGGGATGCAATGGTGAAGCGTGAGAAATTTGCACAAAACATGGCTGGCAACAGCTTCAGTGCAACAGTTTGCCAAGCGAATTTCCTTACGTGCTTGATTGCATGTGATGGTTGGCGAGAGCTGCAACCTGCCACTCCTGGGACTGCCGCTACTGGGAATGCGAAAAGACAGAAAATTGGTTGCCGCCAAGATGTTGGGGATACTGCTGGTACTCCTAGTGCTACAGCAGAGACTAGCAAGTCACAGCCTCTTTTGGAAAAAAAAGAAGATGCCAAGAAGACGGCGTGCTTGTCAGGTTCGCAAACCATCCCGACAAGGAGACTTCGACGGAAGACAACATTGGTCCCTGTTCCGCGACCAAAAAAACCCAATGGCAAAGGAGCAGGAAATACTTCCGCAATTGGAAAAAAAGTTTGTGCATCGATCTGGGAAAAGGAGGCAATCTGCAGAACATACGAAGAAGCAGTTGCTCGAGGAGATAAAAAACCCATGAATGCCATCAAAGGGATGCGAGGCTACTTCCGTTCATGCATGGCTCCAGCCAAATGGGCGCGTAGCAGAAGGCACAACAGTGGACTCTAGTTTGCAGCACTGCTCCAGCACTCATGAAAAAGTACAAGGAAATCCCCAATAGCCTTCGATCATTCATGCGCATTCCCAAGCTGAAATACCAGCCCAAGATGACGACAGCTGTCGAACAGATCCATTTGCCGCTACCATTACAAATGGTGGTAGAGGACATGGTGATGGAGCGGATCGGTTTGGGCGAAGAGGTGACTGTACAATACGTCAAGTCAACTTTGGTGATGTGCTGTGAAATGTGGAACACTGTTGTCGATTCCATGAAGTTGTCACTGAGGGACAGGGCACTGGCAATGATTAGAGAACAAGATGCAGAGCTCGCCGCATTGAACCCACAGGAGCTAGATCAGAAGCTGAATGAATTCATGACACGTACGCAAAGACTGCTTGCACCCATTCGCGTGTCAGAGAACGATGCAACATTGGTGCCGCTTGACATGTTCAGTCAAAGTTTTGTGAAGTTTTGCCCGAAGGTTCTAACTGTAACACTCCTCAAGCTAACAACTCACAAACTTACATACATACATACATACATACATAGGTACATACAATGTATGTTGCTTCAGGGCAGGCAGCATGGAATTGCACAACACAGTCAGGAAGCGTGCACAAAGACTATGTACCACCTTTGGAATCAAAAATCGTGCGTGTGAAAAGCCCGGAGCACACCTCCCCTTTGAAGATCCGAAGTTGGAAAGGCTCCGGACCTTTGTGAAGAGCACTTCACATGGGTGTCACCCCAGACTTGTTGCAAACTTTGACCAGGTCTGGAGCACTGTGTTTAGACCTCAGCGTCGCACCTTGCAGAAGGTTGCTTGCTTGAAAGGTGTACAAGCAGACCCTGTTGCAAAGTCTCTCTACCTGAGACAGATCAGGCACAACTTGGAGCGTTCCCTTGACCTTCCACTGACAGAACAGGACCCAAAGAAGCCAAAAATGAATGAAACACGAAGGACGCCACAAGTACAAGGCGGACAAGCAGCAAGCTGCTTTGTTGACCAGTGGAGAAGCCCGAGGACGATCACCACATTGAGTTTCATCGACGGAACGGTTGGTCGCGGATATATCACCTTCCGTGAAGGTGGGATCTCGCAAGCTACTCGGGACAAGGTGAACCATAAGTTTGGTCAATACCTTCACGTTGCCCCTCCGCAACCTACTAGCCACATCTGGTCAGAGTCATCGCTGATTTTGTACTTAGAGTTTTTGGCTGAGGAAATAAGACTACGCCGCCACCAGCTAGGATTAACGGCTGAGAACAAAGCCCTTATCCTGATGGATCAAGCGGGAGCACACATGTCGAAGACATATGAACAACTGCAGAAGAATTGGTCACTCAAGCACAATGTTGCAATTTGGCAGCATGAAGCATGCCTACACACACTTTCACATACTTATCTCTTCATTCAGTTTCTAAGGTTCTAAGTGTGGCTCCTCTGAAGGCAATGGGACATATTGTGGTCTTTATGGTAAATGCGTCCAACCTTTTGATGTTCATTGACTTTCAACTATATACATCCTTTTCCTTTCACCTCTGAGCCTCTTCTCTCCAAACATCTAAAAACCACAAATAAATCCGACCACCCACCTCCCTTCTCCCTTAGGTACAGGGACATGTATATATATATATATATAATATGTTTTTGCCGCGCTTAGGAGATCATCTGCGGGCATCATCCAACTGCTCCAGTGCCTGGTGGCTTTGGTGCAGCGGCAGGCCCAAACGATGGATGGCATGCGGCTTTCCATATGTTGACGAAAGCGTTTCTCAGAACAGCAGTTGGATGGGGCAGTGCTGCACATCTACGCAAACGACTGGATGAGCTGGAGATGTCTGTCCAAGCCAATCCACTGACAAAGAAACCCGAATTGAAATGTTCGGGGGGTAATAGTCGCCTGATCGTGTTCTTTTATGATATGATGTTGATGATCAGTGAAACTTTCTCATCACTTATATGGTTTTTATCATTAAAATTATTACTAATGGTGGGACTTTGACTATGATAAGGGAAAATCACCAAACCTACATGTTCCCTCAAAAGCCCTCACAGATAGAACCCTTCAAAAGATTTGGAACATCCAATGATCAATGAGTTGTTGAACATCAAACATATTTACATATATATGTATATATTTGTTTAAAAAACACAAATCAGCAAACTAAGCCAACATCAGGACATGTTGGGGCGCTGGGATCTTGAGGCGGTGGTTTCCACCTTCCAACCATTGGCAGCGGCGGTTTTTTCATATGATCTGGGAACATTATGAAATCTATCATTCCCCTCAAAGGCCCTCACAGATAGAACCCTCCAAAAATGGGTAAAGTGGATGCATGGGATTCTAACCATCGATAATTTCTCAATTGGTGAACATGAAATGAATTTATATGTGTTTTATCTGGGATATCGAATGGGTAAAATTGAGCCAACATCAGGACATGTTGGGGCGCTGGGATCTTGAGGCGGTGGTTTCCACCATCCAACCATTGGCAGCGGCGGTTTTTTTTTCATATGATGTGGGAACATTATGAAATCTATCATTCCCCTCAAAGGCCCTCACAGATAGAACCCTCCAAAAATGTGTAAAGTGAATGCATGGGATTGTAACCAGCGATAATTTCTCAATTGGTGAACATTTAATGAATTTATATGTGTTTTATCTGGGATATCGAATGGGTAAAATTGAGCCAACATCAGGACATGTTGGGGCGCTGGGATCTTGAGGCGGTGGTTTCCACCATCCAACCATTGGCAGCGGCGGTTTTTTTTATATGATGTGGGAACATTATGAAATCTATCATTCCCCTCAAAGGCCCTCACAGATAGAACCCTCCAAAAATGTATAAAGTGAATGTATGGGATTGTAACCAGCGATAATTTCTCAATTGGTGAACATTTAATGAATTTATATGTGTTTTATCTGGGATATCGAATGGGTAAAATTGAGCCAACATCAGGACATGTTGGGGCGCTGGGATCTTGAGGCGGTGGTTTCCACCATCCAACCATTGGCAGCGGCGGTTTTTTTTCATATGATGTGGGAACATTATGAAATCTATCATTCCCCTCAAAGGCCCTCACAGATAGAACCCTCCAAAAATGTGTAAAGTGAATGCATGGGATTGTAACCAGCGATTTTTCTCAATTGGTGAACATTTAATGAATTTATATGTGTTTTATCTGGGATATCGAATGGGTAAACTGAGCCAACATCAGGACATGTTGGGGCGCTGGGATCTTGAGGCGGTGGTTTCCACCATCCAACCATTGGCAGCGGCAGGTTTTTTTCATATGATGTGGGAACATTATGAAATCTATCATTCCCCTCAAAGGCCCTCACAGATAGAACCCTCCAAAAATGGGTAAAGTGGATGCATGGGTTTGTAACCATCGATGATCCCTCAATTGGTGAACCTTTTTATTTATATATATATATATATTTGTTTTATTTAGGATATTGTTTGGTTTTTAACATTCAACCATCGGCAATGGTGGAAATTGTTGATATAATATGGTAAAGTGTTGAGATCGACCAGTCCCCTCAAAGGCCCTCACAGATAGAACCCTCCAAAAAATGGGTAAGTAAGGTACATGCATGGGATTGTAACCACCCGTAATCTCTTAATTAATGCTCCTTAGAGGAATTTCTCATTGTTCTGGCCAAGGTGTGATATCGAGACATCCATTGCGGCAGACGCGTGGGCTCTGGCACAGCTTGGTTCAAATCAGAAACCCATATGCAGCAAGTGTGTCGGCATATATACCTCTATATATAAATATGTTTATATATTTATCTTTATATATATATATATATATATATATAGTTGCCGAATGATAGCTTAGAGCAAAAGGTATTATATCTAAATCTTATTGGAATCGATGATATGAAAACTAATATATTTATAATATATATATATGCTGCCTACAAGAGGTTCTAACTGTGAAGTCACCCACCCATTGGGATGAACAATGGTTCAAAGATTACAATCATAATGCAAGGTCAGAATTGGTTTGATACATATTTAAAATTTTCACCACATGATGAATGAAGAGTCATTTTGTAGTCTTGGCATCAAACATTTAAGTTCAAAGATTGTGTGTCATGCAACGCTCTGCTTAGGCACAAACGCATCATTTGGATATCCTGGTTCCAGCGAGGATATGCCACTGAAGCCAACCTGGCTAATTGGCTTTATGATGGACACTTGGCTAGCTGTTTCAAAGATTCAACCCATCAATGTACACACGTGTATATATCTATATGTGTGTATATATATATATGCACATACACATGCAACGTGTATTGCAAACAAAGATGTTTGGTCATTTCAAGTTTTCATGAAGCACTTCTGGCTTCAACAATCCAAGAAAAATCATATATTATGCCAAGACTTTGTGGTTGAGGTGACATCGAGCAGGTCAAAGTCGCTTTGCAGAGGTGCAGAGGAAGCATGACGAACCTCATGGATCTTGATGAGCTTGTTGAGTTTGATGGGGAAGAGACGCAGGAGTTCAAGCACATGCGGATTCAGCAGTTGGTTTTTTGGTTTGCATTTTCAAGGTTCTAAGTGTGAAGACGATACAGCACAGTGAAAGAAACAACGAAATGTGTTTTGCGTTCTTTTCAAACAGAATTCAGGATGAACTATTTATATTTATAAGTGAATAATATGTATATATATATATAGGTAAATATTATATACATATATTTCGTATGTGTATATATATATAGAAGGATATATATATATATAGACGTACATGGTTTTTAAAGCAAACCGGACAATATTCAGACGAATTTTCATCTGAGGCTGGTGAGATATCCTTCGTTTGGGCCATTCAGGGCAATGATGCTGCAGAGCCTGAGTCCACACGGGTTTCACTTCCTTCTTGGGTGAGTACAATTCTGGAACTTCGCATCTGCAAGTTTGTTTCGGAGCATGACAAATGGCAGATGGCAATCAACAAAAGAGCTGCATCAGGTCATGAACTCACCAAAAAACAGAAAGAAAAGTACGATATTTGGCTGGCTAGCAATGTGCAGAGACTGGTATTCAACAAGAAGCGCCGATGCTACGTCTCTGAGTCGCGCCAGATCACCAAGGATTGCATTGTCTTGCAATTAGAGTTGAGTGAGACCCCGGCAGATTTGCTTTTGTCCTCTGGCTCTTCTGACAAGAAGTTTCAACTGGTCCTTCTCAAGCATGATGCGATTGGTAGCACATCGAAATTGCCCGACGTCTTGGACCAGCCAGTGTCTGAGGAAATTCTGCTGATTGCGGCTGCAGAACAGACAAAGGAAGACGAACAAGATCAACAAGAAGATTTGGGCGAAGATCAAGTACACGAGTTGGAAGATGAAAAATTTGCAGCTGAGTATCCGAATGCAGGACACGACGATGAATCACATACTTTCATGGTTCTGGCAGATTCCGACGATGAGGATGATGACATTCCAGAAATCCCAGGAACACAGACTACAAGGATGAAAACCTTTCATCTTCGAGACGCCTGGGTTCGTCTGGAGAAACTCAATCTTACAGAAATGCCTCGACACGTCAAAGGATGTTTCATCGGATGCCACCAGACATCAAGGCAATGGCAAGGATTTTATCCGGGATCAAAGATCACCATGTCCTGTGTTTGGGGAGGTAAAACCAAGCGTACGGAGGAAGAAGCAATCTTGCGTGCAATTCGAGGGGTCTTGGAGTCCCATTTGCATGCTCAGCCCAAAGACAAGCTTTGGGCAAAGCAATTGGCAAAGTTGAAGGAGGCGGAGGCGACACAATCGTTCTAGGGATGATCATTTTGAGATGTGAGATGAAAAATATGTATGTTTAGACGGACAAAGTTGCAATGATTTACATATGTTCATAAGTTGTAGCTTGGGTTGTTAAGACCTCACACTTAGAACCTTGTGTCAGCTGAGAGTTTCCCTGCAGATCTCATGCTCAGCTACCACTGTAGTCTTGGGAGTGATGGTTGCTTTTCGCGCACATAGATCTATTTATATATTTCATTGTATATATGTATATATACACATAAAATATCATAATACACATACACCGGTATTGCAATTGATGTGTGGGCATATGTACACAAATAATCCCTTCATCCTAATACTAATAAACAGGGCAGGTAGTTTTTAGTTTTAAGGGTAATATTTATTATTAGGGAACCAAAGTCGCATTCACACTTTTCATTATATAAAGATATCTTTACATATATATATATATATTAATTTTATAAATTTCTTTATATAATGCAATCAAAATATTGCCAAAAATTGAATTGCGAAGCTTCACCCCAATACTAAATTAAAACCCTTATATAATCATATTTTTCCGATTTCAAAACCAATTAAATTTCCTTATGCAACACAATTAAAATATTGCCAACAATTCGATTTCGAAATTTCCCCCTAATACTAAACTAAAACCATTAATAATAAAAAACTATTCTTTCCGATTTCAAAATCAATTAAATTTCCTTATATAACGCAATTAAAATATTGCCAAAAATTGGATTTCGAAACTTCTCCTAATGCTAAACTAAAACCCTTAATCATAAAAATTATTTTTTTCCGATTTCAAAATCAATTAAATTTCCTTATATAACGCAATTAAAATATTGCCAACAATTCGATTCCGAATCTTCCCCCTAATACTAAATTAAAATCCTTAATAATAAAAATTATTTTTCCGATTTCAAAATCAATTAAATTTCCTTATATAACGCAATTAAAATATTGCCAAAAATTGGATTTCGAAGTTTCTCCTAATGCTAAACTAAAACCCTTAATCATAAAAAATATTTTTTCCGATTTCAAAATCAATTAAATTTCCTTATATAACGCAATTAAAATATTGCGAAAAAATGGATTCCGAAGCTTCCCCCTAATACTAAATTAAAATCCTTAATAATAAAAACTATTTTTTTCCGATTTCAAAATCAATTAAATTTCCTTATATAACGCAATTAAAATATTGCCAAAAATTGGATTTCCAAGCTTCCTCCTAATACTAAATTAAAAGCCTTAATAATAAAAAATATTTTTTCCGTTTTCAAAATCAATTAAATTTCCTTATATAACGCAATTAAAATATTGCCAAAAATTGGATTTCCAAGCTTCTGCTAATACTATTAGGATGAAGGGATTATTCAGACATACACTTATATGCATGAATATAAAACGAATTCAGGTTATATACTGTGTATGTTGCAGATTGCGCAAAGCTCTATGACTTCTGAATTTATCTAGGTCGATCGGTATGCTCAGCATAGTTCTGGGCTTTGGCCAGTGACAGGCCTGAGTTCGGCTTTGTGTGTTCCTCCTGGGAAGGTCGCACTTAGAACCTTCAAAACTTGTTTGACATCTCAATCTTGATAATGAAACAAAGTTGAAAACTAATGTATGCACTGCAAAGCTGATATGGCAAATCTTCAATGCACAGCCGGTGTTCCGTTGAGTCCTCTCAGTACAGAATGAGGACCACTTTGAGCGCACTAATTAACATTTTGATTGCAGCTTCTGTGAGTCTTGTGACTTCAATTTCATACATGTTGCTTTGAACTCCTGAGGCGAAACTGAAATATGTTTCATGATTGGTTGCCACAGGAGCTGCTGAGGGGCTAAGGTAATACAGAAGATCTTTGATTTTCTTCTGTATTTGCGATAGTGACAACATTGAAAGCATCCTAGAGAGAGATAGAGCGAGATATGGAAAAATGCTTGCAAGATCATGTTTCCCTGCGGAAAGCATACCATTTCGGTTGTGCTAGCTTGGGATCTTTGATGACCAAGCTGCAGAAACAATTGATGCATATTCCCATACAAGACTATCACAGTTAGAACCCTTCACAGACGTGGACATGTGGTTCTCTCACACACACACATGTGAACACAAATTGTCACCAATGTGCATTTGCAAAACCTTCGCAGCTAGCTTGAATTTTCATACGTAGCACTTAGCTGCTCCAATTTGCTTTTACGTGTGCTGCTGTGCTCCATATCAATTGTGATGTTCTCGTCTACCGCCATCATCGAAACTTCCGCATTGATCAGCATGCTTTTCAGCTACGTGAAGCCCGGTGATCGGGTGCTGCCAGATAGGGTTGACGAGATTGAGACATGGAACAGACTGTTTCATAGCATGATCAGCCAACTCGGCCAACCGATGTTCTTACGCAGCATTTTGTTCATGTGGACTGGATCCTCGAGCTGTCTTTCCCGTCTTGAAGCTGAAGTTTTTCCCGAGCAGGTGATTTTCACTGGTTCTACCTTGCCCAACAAAGTCATTCCGAGGGACATGGGGCATCTATGCAGAGAGGAGTGGCAACCCAACAGGGCATTGCTGAAGCCATCGCATGAGGCTCTGATGAAGTTTTCAAACTTCATTCACAACAAGTGTGACGAAAACCAACACCAAGAACTTTTTGCTGCAGTGGCCGACAGCATGCTCTTAATAGAAACAGCTGCTGCGTTGTGCAACATTACCATTCAGGATGTTGATGAGTCCGCTTTTCTTCCTGCTTCTGTAGGCGCCATATCGTAAATGTTTCGACCAGTGCACATGCAGTGGCACATTGTCGTTTCTAGGATTAACTCAAACACGGTTCCCAGTGCTGCGCGCAGGAAAAAGAGTTCTGCGCGACATCGGCATTCCACCTGTGAGTATGAGTCACTCGTATTTTTTCTTCGCATTCACAACCGTTCGGTGAGTCAGATGAGTCAAAGACTGCTATCAATGTGGGACTATTCCCATGGCAGCCCTTCACAGATAGAACCTCCGAGAACAGCTTGAATTCAGCAGTCAACCTGTTAGGCAGTCGTACTTTTCATACACTAATGTCAAAAAGTGAAATGTTCTCAATACGGTGAGCATTCTTATGCCAGACTCCCACAGATAGAACCTCCGAGAGCAGTTTGAATTCACCTTCCGAGAACAATTTGGCTCCATCAGGTGCAGTAGATATAATATATATATATATACAAATCAAATTTGAGACCGATCAACAATGGACACGTGGGATTTTGCTTTTCCCATTCTCATTTTGTACCTCTTGCTGTGTGTGGCGAGGGACGTCAAGGCGTTGCTCCTTTTGGCATTGGCACCATCCATCCGACATGAAAAGTTCAAAGCTTGCAAAGATCTTAGCGCACCATCAAGTTCAACGGCTTCAAGCTCTGAACGACCTTATCATGGTTTGCCACCACACCATGATTTGAAAGAGGTTTATTTACTTGCGAGTACGCGCAACAAGGCCAGGACCATGTGTTGGGACAAATCTCTATACCTGTCTTGTATCCTAGATATACCTAGATATGTAAATAGTAGTTAGCATATGTATATATATTTTTTATTATTTATTATAGGTGCTGAACTTATTGACGGACTCTCACTCAGAACCCAAAAATATTCCAAAATTTTCAGTCCTGATGATCCCTTACTAATTTTCAGTCAAACACTGATGACTTTTCAACAGAAACACTGGCAGGTACACTTCACGAAGACGTGTGTTGGCCGAGAGGATGAAATGACCACTATTGAGGTTTGCAAGCATTGCCGCAACAGAGCGGCCAAATTGAAATGACAAGATTTGATGCGTGCAGGAAAATGATGCGGTTCTCATAGTTGGTTGGTGTTACCCCCTGAGTTAGAACCTTTTGCAAACCAAAGTTCTAATGAGTTAGAACCCTTTGCAAACCAAGGTTCTAAGTGTGCAAAATTTTTGGGTTCTAACTGTTGGGTTAGAAAATTTTGGAAAAATTTTGAGGTTCTAACTGGGTGTCCGTCAGTATAGTACAAAACTTCTGTCAACTATTTTTGGCAAATGGCCACATGCGATTGCAGCAGGTCGTGTGATTTGATAGCCTTCCGCTGGACGGTGCGTTGGCATGTTGCAGATTGCAGCTAGCAGCTAGTGCCACGCCTGCCACGCACATGGAACGTCGATGTCACCATGAGCAAATGCCACGCCTGCCACGCAAATGAAACGTCGATGTCACCAAGCGCCGCCCCTGCCACGCAAAACGCGACGCCCCGGGCGACTAACGGCGACCAAGCACGCCACCAGGGCCAGCCCAGTGCCACAAGTGCCACGCCTGCCACGCCAAACGCAGGTAGATGTCGCCAAGTGCCACGCCTGCCACGCACATGGAACGTCGATGTCACCATGAGCAAATGCCACGCCTGCCACGCAAATGAAACGTGGATGTCACCAAGTGCCACGCCTGCCACGCAAGTGCCAGTGTGTGACAAAGTTGTGTGGCTACGTGTGTGTGTGTGGAAGATGGTGTGTGACAAAGTTGTGTGTGAAACACAGTCTGTGACAAAGTTGTGTGCGACAAAGTGATGTGTGGCAAAGGTGATGACAAAGATGGTGTGTGTGTGTGACAAAGTTTCGCGTGAAAGACAATGTGTGACAAAGTTGTGTGTGTGTGACAAAGTGATGTGTGACAAAGATGGTGACAAAGATGGTGTGTGACAAAGTTGTGTGTGCGTGCCAAAGTGGTGTGTGACAAAGTTGTGTGTGTGTGACAAAGTTGTGTGAAAGACAGTGTGTGACAAAGTTGCGTTTGAAAGATAATGTGTGACAAAGTGATGTGTGACAAAGATGGTGTGTGACAAAGTTGTGTGTGAAAGAGAGTGTGTGACAAAGTTGCGTGTGTGTGTGTGTGTGAGAAGATGGTGTGTGACAAAGTTTGGGTTGAAAGATGGTGTGTGACAATGTTGTGTGGAGGAAGCGGAGGCGGAGGCGGAGGCGGAGGCGGAGGCGGAGGAGCGGGATACAGAATCAAAAACAAGAACCCCACACAAAGATGTGGGGAAATAGAAAGGCCAGGCAACTGCATTCTGATCCTTGACGTCCACCACCTGGCCCACAAGAATTGAAAAGGAAATGCTGTCAATATCTTTCAAACCTGTCCAGGGGCTGCCTTCCCTAGCCACGTAGCACTTCCAGGAAATTCTAGCCACGCAATTTTTTCTCCAAATCCCTCGAGTATGGCTCAGCTATGAAATTGCGTAATCATCTTATGCATACAACCGCCCCGGCCGCCTTGCGGGCACTGCACAGGCCCGCGCCAGGGAAGACCCTGACCCCTCGAATATAACACGAATATTCTACCGCATAGAATCCTCTTTTCTTAATCTTTCCTATAAGGTTCTGCGTGCGGGACAGAATCTCCCTTTGCTTATTTGATTGTGCCGGCAATTCCGTCCAGGAGGTTGTGAGATTCTAGTGAACAGAATCTTCCCATTCATTCATGTTAGGTTCAACCGAAAAGAAACTTTCTTCTGTTCCACAATGTGGCCACACTTGGGGTTCTTACAGTCAGAGTGAAGGCCAAGTGTTCCTTCGAGATGGGATCATACGTGCACGGCATTTGTGATCACCCTTGCAGCACAAAAGTTCCTTCATCTTCCGTTTTCGACGGACGGACATCTCGCACGAAACGGTTGCCCGCCGACCTCTGTTCCGAACGGCTCGTTTTACTCGCCCGCGGTGCTCGTTTTTTTGACCTAAATCAATTAATTTCGCGTGGCGGGCGTGGCACTTTCGCGACATTTGGGGGTCTAAAACGTCGTTTCGCATGACAGGTTCAGGACATCCGACACGTCAACCGCGTGGCAGGCCTGGCACTTTGTGGGCGTTGCTAAAACATTGGCAGGCGGGTCGAACTGAGAGGTGCTGTTGGAAGTCATTTTTCGTGGCAGCTTACTCGGAGCTGTCCTCGGATTTGATTTGGGACATGATAATGATTCCGTGTGGCAAGCGCAAGACGTCGGATGCCTCGGGCTCATTTTTCGTGGCAGGCGCAGTACTTTGTAGACCTCGACCAAGAAGTGGCTGAGACCTAGGTAAAACGTCGTTTGAATTGTTCAATGTTTATTTTTCATGCTGTGCGCAGTGTTTTGCGGAAATCTGACATGATGCTTTCACTACCAGGGTCGCTCTTGTCCTGCTAGCTTGCAGCCACTGATGATTTCGGGTCCTTTCCACTTTTCCCTTGCCGGGATAATATTACATAATTTCAACATCTATCATCTATCTGTATCATGTTTTCTCGTAGGTGAAAAACACGACTCTTCGGGCTAACCTGTCTTTTTTCAAGGCTCGCATTGGTTACTTGGCTACAAAGAAAGTCATTGCGTGGTTAGAGAAAAAGTTTTTCGTGGCATTTCGTGGCCAAAAACCGTTCCCCCGTGTACAAACCTGAAGCGGAGAGAAAAAAAAAACACTCAAAACCTGCAGCACCTCAGTTGGTTTTGTGGATGTTGGAGCAGCTAACGCAAAGCGAAGACTGGCTCCTGGCAAGGGGCCCAGGTGACGATGGCCCTCTCTAAACTGCAGTTTGCCTATGCTCTCTCTACTATTCTCTACTTACATACTCTTACATGTGTCTTATTGTTTCTTGACATGCCCTGCCCCACCGCTACAAGATGAAAGTTGCACTGCCGCGCCTCGTGAGCCATTCAACCCCCGGGAGCGCTGGCAAGCCACCTCAGCAAATCCACGACAACCCCAGCATGGCTTGTCCCTTGGTTTCAACTTTCAACATGTTACTCTTCAGCAGCTATACGTTGGGACCGGCTCGGACTGCTTGAAGTGGCTCTGGCGCCGTTCACCCCCAGCCGATCAGAAAATGGAACAGCTTTAGCTCCAAGAAAAGTGGCAAGTTATAAGAACGCAGTTGAATCCACAATCCAGCAGCTTACCAAACTCTCGACAGGCAAGGAACATTCTGCATTTCAAGGGGGTCGTACAAATGTGATAAACCTATATAAATCTTCTTAGACTTTTCGCGGTGCCCTGGGGAGTGGACTGTGGCTCCAAGTAGCCCGCCAACTGCCAACCTAGACCATCTCAGTGACGCTGCCATGTGGCAGGGGCCTATGGACTTGACTCCATCTACAGTAGACCTGCTACACAGCTGGTGACTCAAGCAATGTTCAAGTTACAAGTTCAATTTTGTGGCGGCCATGGCTTCACAATTTCGTCCCCTGCTTCCGCTGCACGTTGACACTCATGCTGCTGACGCATTCTTGTCTTACATCCCATGTGATTTTCAGTGCGCTTGTATGAGACATGTTGCTGCTACTACTGCTGCTGCTCTGCCCTTCTGCGCACATTCGCGACATGATCTCTTTTCGGTACATTGGCCACGCTGTCCAACGATCAGCTGGTTTTCCCGGTTTGCCCCCTTTCGTGTTTGAAGCTGAGACTCCTGCCACGCAGATGTGTCCTTTGTGTCACCTGCATGATGCCCCAGCCCCAGCTTTCACACTAAGTCTGACAAAACGAGGAAGGGCTCCAATGGAGAGATAAGCTGTGACAAATGTGACAAGCTGTGACAAGCTAGTTCATCCGATCTGCTCCGTATAAGATGCTTGTTTAGGCTGCCCTACTCCCTGCATCTCCCCACACCTCCCTGCACTTTCCGCAACACACCTGAGCGTTGCAATCTTAAAGCTGCATGTCTCTCGGGCGCCTTAGTGCGAGAAACGAGTAGGACCAACACCTGACAACCCTCACGAGCATTCAAGTTGTTCGGATCCGTCTTCACCGGCATATTCTTAGATAGGATCTCAACAGGACAGTCCGAATTGCAAAAAAGTAGACCGGTGGAATATCTTGGCCAAGCTAGTAGCTTAGCCAAGCTCTTAAGCTATCTTTAACTGACCACACCCTCAATCACAGGCAAGCATTCTCATTCACTCACTTGAGCAATCCCCTCACTTCACCAATCGCTCCAACAAATTGTTGCTTCAGAGCTTTATCTTCAAAGGGGCTCTTTTTTGGAAAGCTCTGGGTAGTCCACGATATTCGCATTCTACTAAGAAGTAGCGAAGCTATTTTGCCATGCCAACATGCTGCAAATATCGAACACTTCCAGTAAAATGCTAAGGAATCATTTCAGGCTACACGTGCGTGCACGCTGCTGCTAGATTCCTCCACCCAACTTGACTCCGGCTGCCATTTTCCGCGTGCACTGTCAGGCTGGTTTGACAGGCAATGGATTGGCAATGGCTTGAGCGCCACCCCCTACATTTCAAAGAGCAAGGGGATCTGCTGTCAACCTCAAGCCATTTTCAAATCACATCACACCTGGTGCACTGCCACTGTGGGAACGCGATTGAAAAGCGTTCGTATAAAAATGCACCGTGCACAAAATTCACCTCGAAGGATGATGGTTGCGGCTGCGGTATGTCGCGGCTAGGCGGCACTAGGCCATGCTAGGCTCCTCTTATAAGAGGATCACCATGGATCGCCGGATCACTGTGGATCTCGATGGATCTCGACTGCTTCACTGTTGCGGTGCCCAAGCACCGGAGCGGAAGCAAAGGAGGGCCCTTGGCAAACACCCTAGACGTTGTGGCTTTCACAAGGGCTTGCATTGGAAGATCTCAGGCAAGATGGGGTACCGCTCTAACCCCAAAATTTCAGATCTCTTCAGATCTCTTCAAAGCATCTGCTCTGAGCTTCATGCATTTCATTGCATTTCACATATCTAATTTTCACATCATCTCACAACGTGCACATCAGCCATGAGCTACAAGCTCTCAAGGGGTCAGAGCTGTGCCTCCCCAAAATCCAATGACGCACAATGACGCTAGATGATTGAAATGGGGCCTAAGCTTTCCTTCAAACTTGGCGGAGCCACGGTCACAGCAACGGGATCAAAGGCCTCCGGCTTCCGTGGCTTTCTGCCAACCCCAGCTGCACAGCCGACTCACGCCCTTCGGGCGAGGAGCCTTGGGTCTTTTCATGACGAGGATCATGTGGATAATTTTTTTTTCCAGAAGACTACTCTCAATACATCTCGGATTATTTTCAAAAACTCTCTCCCAGAAGCAGGGTGCACTCAACAAACCTCAATGACCAACTCTTTGATTGCGTGAATGTGTACATCATGATGGCCCCCAAGGGGTGTGGCTTGGAAACTCCTCCGCTACTCTCCGCTGTGCACGTTGATTAGTGTGCTAATATTAGTCGAGCTAACTCAATCCTCAGCCGCTCCAGCATTTTGTGGCGCTGTTATCCACCAAGCGTGGATATTGAAGAAAACCTGATTGATTGTCTTTGGCCGAGTGTCTGGCAAAACATATGCAACTTAGAATTGAGCAGGTGCCTTCGAACATTCTTAGAGTGGGAAAATATGGGAAAATTCGAACATCATGTCATGTGCCTTCTTGCTCGAATCAGTGCCATCATATGTCATGATATGAATTTCATCGCAGCCAGTACTCAGCGAATCCTGCTGCTGTAAATTGGATTGATGGATATCCCAAATGTGCTGTGGCCTCCCGACTCTGGTCGAACTGGGAGGGCCAGCTCAAAAATCATCCTCTCTGGTGGAGGAGGTGAATGGCACTCACCAAACGCTTCCTTTGATAATCTGGCATGATCTGGCATAGACAGCAGCGTTTTGATAAACCGCGGAGTCAAAACGCATGCAGCTTGACGCACTCATTGCACTCAGTGCACTCCCTTCACGGAAGTTCCGGCGCAGCTATTGGAGGCCCGCGTCCCACCACTTTGCCCTTCATTTGTGAAGGCACTCGGCAGGTGCCTCGCCGGGAAAAAACCATTGAAGTCACTGAATCAGATGGTACCCTAACGAGCCTTGGGCCTATCACAGGCTGAGCTTAACCCGTGTGGACAACAAGCATTGCTCCTGTTGGTCTTGGACATCTGTCGCTCCAAACTGAAGGCAGCTAGATGCAGCACTCTGCAAACGGGAAGGCACAGCACGAAAGCATCGAGCCCCCATGGGCTGGTTGAAATAGTTTGAAGACTGTAGCACTGTAGCCACTGTATGAGTGAGAAGTTCATAGAATTTGTGTCTGCCTTCCCTCTTGCTTGCTCTACCCTACCTTCAGGACCTTGAGCTATTGGTGTTCCGTCAACAGGAACTTCAAACCGCTGTCGTCACTACCAACTGACTGCACCGTCTTCTCACCCACGGCGTCAAATGCCGTTGTGAAGGGTGAATGGCGGAACATCACACCCTTGCAGAATGAGGCCTCAAAATGGTGAAATGCAACAACCATCAATACGAGATTCACTATTACTACCACAATTGCATGTTGACAACGTTAGGCCATGTTTGGCCTACGTTCCTTTCTTCCGCCTGATTGTCATGCTCTCTGGCAGCTCGTTTGGCGAACTCACTGTAAAGCTTGTGCTTTACCGATCAGACGTACCAAGCACAAACATCGCATTTCGCAGCACAAGGATTCCACAGAACACGGCCATCTGGATGTCCCCTGGTCGAGGAATCCAAATGACCCAGCATGCCCGACAGGTCAGCTGCCACATCACTTCCTGTATCTTCTTCTAGTACCCCTTTCTTGCAACCATAAAATTACCTTCACTTGCCTACGCTTGTTAACCCTTGCCTACACCCCAGTTGCTGTATGTTGCTGTGGCTGGTCCCACCGGACGATTGAAGGCCCACATGGCCGGCATATCAGACCAAGGCATGCTGCCAAAGTATGCAGCAGCCGGTACCTAAAGAGGCACCAATGGCAGAAAATTACGGCGTGCAACCTCCCCTGACTCGCATCAAGCGCGAATCTTCCTTCAACATCTTGAACTGCCCTTGACTCACTGGACCTGCACTTGGCATTTGCGTCACGGAAGGTTCTGGCCATCTGCAATAAAAGTCCAGTGTGTGCATGTTTGTTGTGCAGCAGTGGACTCTGACGTAGTATGATCGGCACGACAGACGAATTTGCTGTAAACTTTACACTCAGAGCGGGCCACTTACACCCACATCAAGAATCACTGGGCTTGGAACTCCGAACCAATCTATCGCTAGCTGCGCGCAGCTTTAAAATAAGGATTATGTGTGTGTGTATGTGTCTGTGTTTGATGAATATATTACAGTACAAATTAAATCTGTATATGTGTGTGTGCCAGATATATCGTTTCTATTCGTGGCACAGTGCTTCTTATGACTGAACGCTACTTCTGATATCTCTGGATGCAGCAGAGTCAGTATGTTTGGGTTCCAGGCTCACACTGGTTCACTGGGAATGACCAGGATTCTCATAGATTTTTGGTCAGGTCCAATTGGTCGAATATGCAGAGTTTCTTGGCACCTGCCACCTCCGACTCCAAAGCAAGTAGCCCACCTCTGTGAGCTTTTGAAAGTTCCTTGAGGTGACTTCGGCTCTCACCGCGGTACCCGCAAAAATGAGAACCAATTAGTCGCTCACTCGCCTCAACTCCGCTCGCAAAATCTCCTGGGCGTCACTGTCCCGACTGGAGCGATGGCTATCCTTTCTGCTTTCGAAATCATCAAATCTATTCTGTGATATTCTATGCCTAAAATATAATCTTACATTAAATATGTATATATAGCCTCGTCCCAGGTCCTAGAACTGCGCAGACCCCAATTGGGTTGGTAAAACTTGTCAATTCCGTGACGAAATTTCGTCACGGAATTGACAAGTTTCATTAGGGTCATCATCATCATCATCATCATCATCATCATCACCATCACCACCGTCGTCATCATCATCATCATCGTCATCGTCATCGTCATCGTCGTCGTCATCATCATCATCATCGCATCATCATCATCATCATCATCATCATCATCATCAGCATTAGTACCATCATCATCTGCAAGTTCACATGAACGTTAACATCCCACCCCATCCCCCCACCCCATCGTATGTAGTTCCAGGACCTGGGACGGGCCTATATATATATATGTTGACTTTCCCCTTACGGTGCCAAGCAAGAAGTGCAGCTGGTGCGGCACGCATTCTTTTGTCCATCACCCATGAAAGCTCAAGAGGTCTGCAGCTGCCGCAAATCCATGGAGGCGACGAAGGTGCCACAGCGCTGCATCAGGTCCAAGTAGTAGGCCAAGGGCCTGCACAGGGCCAAAGGAGCAGCAGGTGGATGGGCACAATTTGCCTCCTGGAAGCAGCTGTAGGCGCACCACTTGCAAGGCAAAGAAGGCAGCTCTGCTGAGGGCGGGTGGCAGAGGGGAGCCAAGATGTCTCAAGCACCAAGGACACGTAAACATCCAGAGCATGTTGACTTTCCCCTTACGGTGCCAAGCAAGAAGTGAAGCTGGTGCGGCACGCATTCTTTTGTCCATCACCCATGAAAGCTCAAGAGGTCTGCAGCTGCCGCAAATCCATGGAGGCGACGAAGGTGCCACAGCGCTGCATCAGGTCCAAGTAGTAGGCCAAGGGCCTGCACAGGGCCAAAGGAGCAGCAGGTGGATGGGCACAATTTGCCTCCTGGAAGCAGCTGTAGGCGCACCACCATCTTTAGCAGGATCGGGACAAGCAGGTGCGAAAGTTCGTGTACCACTAAGGCGTGGCGTTTGCGTTTACCCTGCTAATGGGCACACACCAGCGGTCAAAAATGCAAACGTAGCAGCAAAGGTCTGAATGCAGCTTTGTGAAGGGAGCTTTGCCAGCAAGTTGAGGGCAGCGACTTCCTGCAAGTAGCTTTCCAAAGTTGTCTGCGACCTTAAACGAAGCAGCCACAAAAGGTCAGCTATGGCTTTGCCATTCTTGTAGTGGTATACTGCAGCTCCACCACGTAACCCTCCAGGGGTAAGCTTGAAGTCCCGCTGAATGCCAAATTTTTCAAGGAGGAGATCCCATCCCTTCCTATATTGATATGGCGTAGCACCAAAAAGAGGTGCTTCCAGTGGTAACTTCTTGAAAATTACTGTGAGGATTCGCGAGGCAGTTGCGTCAACCACCTTCATGTGTTGCACCTTGGCAGGTTGGCGGGTTTGAGATTTGAAACTGCGAAGTCGCAGAAAAACAGGTGCGCCCGTGGGTTCCAGCACATCACATGGGAGCACGAGGTCCTCACGGGAACATCTCAAAATCTCGCCCAAACGCCCAGCACCATAAAAAGCGAGGACTGTTGCACCAACCCAGCTGTACCATTGCAAGTGCCAAGCTAGAGCACACATCGCTGTCACCAGTGTTTCTGGTATGGGCGTCCGATGGTTTACGGGACTCAAAGCTTCCCATCTCTCCACCATTTCCCAAGCAGGCACCATGTAGACCCTGGAGCTGGGAATCCAGCGTTGTGCCGCCAACACCAAATGCCTGTAGTTACTCAAGGCACCACCATTTCTGAACATGAACTCGGCATATGACTTGAGCGCCCAAGGTAAGAACTGCGGTACTGTAGCAAAGAGGGCTTCAACATCAGCTCCAGGCAAAAACCTTGCACACCATCGTCTGAAGCTTTCCAGTTGTCGCGCTTCCAGGGCTAAAGTCTGTGGTGTTAGAAGCTGCACATCTGAAAGGGCTCCCAGGCGCACAGGAGCATTTCTTCTTCGTGGTCCTGGGCATGAAGCTTCTCCAGCTCGCAACGAGCCTGTTTTCGAGCATCCTGCCACGTCCAGCTTCTCAGCCTTGCACTTATTGGCTGTAAACGGCATGCTTTTCCACCATGGGGCATCGAAAAAGCTGAAGGAGTGCCTGGACCCGTGCTGAGGCCACAAAAGCCGCCTGCACTTCCAGCGCCTTTGGCTCAGACACCAAATTCTGCCGGCGTCCGCAAGGGAGTAGGCACCTCCAACTGACTCAGCTCCTTCAACAGCTGCCCAAACGAAACCACTGTGACAGTTGTCTCCAAAGACCTCAAGGCGAGACCCACGTGCACTCCTCTTGCAGTGTGCTGGGCTCAAAGCTTGAGGAGTCTTCGATTCATGCTGTTTCCCATCACCAGAGTAAAGCGAGGCACCAAAGTAAAAACTGTTGCAGAAAACATTCTTGCTACCTTGCATTGCTTTCCAGACTTCGCTCTGCTGAGCGGCCATAGTTTCGGGGCAAAGGTCAAAAGGCCAGCATGTAACAAAGAACGGGAGGTGCAGTTTGCCACAAAAAGCTCCCAAAGTACGCATCCACACATCAACAGTCAAAAAGTAACCTTGGGTAAGAACATAGGCTCGGCAAAGTCTTCCCATGACAGTCCAAAAGGGCTCGGACTCCTGAGTTGGTGCGTCACAGCTGTTGGGCGCAAGGCTGAAGTGCTCCAAGAGAAAGACAGCTCCAACGCCAAGGGCAAAGGGCAGAGCTGGGAGCACAACTGCATACAGCTCCACAGGAAAAGCACTTCCTTCCGCAAGGACACCAAGGGCAACATCCCTGTCCTCTGCAGCCAAGCTCGAAGCGCTGTGCAAAGAGTTGGCAGATCTCCCTTCGTCGATCGGAAACTGCAGCGCACAGACACAAAAATGCTGCAAACTACGAATTATCCCATGCCAGCACGCACGGAAGGTGAAAGCGTTGGCCATGACTTCCCGGAAGGGAATGCAAAAGTACTTCTGATAGGGGACTCCATCTCCAGGGTCCTTCAGGCACCGTGCATGTAGTAGCGCTCTTCCAAAACGCAGCAACATGGTCGAGTTGCCACGCCAGAGGCTCCGCGTTGCAACTCCCGCAGCATCAGCAGAGACAGTTTGGGCACGGACTCCCGCCATAGCTGTAAAACTTGCGTCAATGGAGGCTACAAAACTTCCAAACTTTGCCCACAAGTTCACAACTACAAAAGAAGCCATAGCTGCCAAGGCCATCAGCGCTAGCTTCAAGACAACTGACATCCCGATGACCCTGAGCGGCCTGCAGTTCATGGAAGGGGTCTCAGCAAGTAAGCGCATGCAGCCATAGTATCTGCTTGTCACTCCCAACATTGATTTCCCCGTTCCTGCAGAGTCCATAAACGGGCCAACCTCACTGAGCTCCATGAAACATGCCCAAAAGGTGATCATCATCGCAGGCGACTTCATCATCTGCAAAGCTCTAAAAACTCCCGAGTCGCTGTCGATGTCAGTACACCAAAGGTCGGAGCAAAGCGAGCTACCGAAGGTCTTCTTGGAGTCGTTGACAAGCTCTGCCGCATCATAGGCTACCAATAACCTATACTCTTCGGCGTAAGGTTGTGCCAAAGCTGCAGCACTGGCCATAACTTGTCTCCCACTTCGCTGCCAACGAGCAGCTACTTCTGGGGGCCAGCCAAACCACACCGTCCTGACGCTGCCCTCAGCGCACCTGCTTGTCGCCGTGCCATGGCTTCCCCTCTCTCCCTCACGCAGACATCCACCAGCATGGGAGCAGACAAAAACGTGCACCGCCACAACTGCCAAGAAAAGAGCAACAAGGTAAGCTTCGTACCCCTCAAAGTTGAAAGAGAAGAGCTCAATCCCGGCAGCCTTGACGAATTGAAAAGTTGTACCATCAACCACCAAGTGCTCAAGCATCCTAGCCACGTGCCATTGTCTCGCTAAAGGCAGGGTGCCCAAGCTGGGGTAAGCAGGCACGCCCCAGACGGGCGAAAGCCAGCTGAACAACACCATCAGTAGAGATACCAACCACTTCGTGCTGGCATCAGGAACAAAATGGCCCCCAGCACTTGACACTCCGCAAGGGGGAAGCGGCATGGGCAACGCGACACTAGGTGGTGACGGGGTGCATGAACTGCAACGGGGCATCATAACGATGGACTGCAAAAAACCTTGGAGGCCACACCACATTCTCAGTAACCAACGAGGCATTGAATTCAAAAAGAGAGCGAGGATCCTAACTGTAGTAGCCCCTGAGCCTGGCAACGATTGAACCATGCCAAACCGAGGGGCCATGCATGCACCTCCACTTTCCACATCTATGGGTCTGTGGAGCTTCCCGCTCCTTGGCTCTTTGGCTTGGCCTTTGGCTTTGCCTTCCGCTTTGATTCGGCGTCGTATGACTCGTCTGCAGTGGATTCTTTCCCAGTTCTGCCATACTGCTTGTTCAGGTTCTTCCGCTTGGTGAGGTAATCCTCGGTATCTTTGAGATGAGCCAAAGCGACTTCTTGCCACCTGCTGTCCAAGAGCTTGCTGTATGGAGGCTCTCCGTCTGTCACCGAAGGAGGCTGGTGCATTGCCAGGTTCGAGAAAGGTGGAGCAGGTTCCAAGGCGAGCTCCGCTGCTAAAGTCCAGTTCCCCTTGTCTATCGAAGCCTGGTCCAGCATCAATAGGAGCACTGCAGCACGGGCTCGAGCTTTCTTCACATTCCCCTGAATCAGCGAATCGAGAATGCCAGCCGTGCTCCAAGCAGCATATGCCGAAGAGCGGTAGGCTCCGATTTTTGATCTGAACTCGACCCAAGCCCGGGCACAAAGATGCGGGACTGGCATCCCTGGGGCCACCGTAGCGGAATGCAAATCTTCCAACATCAGCTTCTCGATCATTGACGAGATCTCCTCTGGAGCATTTTCGTAGGCTGCACGTAGGGCCCTCCTGGCTGATGCAGCTTTCTTCCCGGTTCCTTGTAGAGGAGGTTCTGCTGTGATCGCAAGTCCCCCTTCCAAGGCAAGCTCGAGCTTTGAAGTCGAAGCTTTCTTCACCTTGTCGTCCGTGAGAATCTGCATCAGCGACGTCAACTTTGTAAGAGAGGCCGCAACAGGATCTTGGGAATCCAAACCAGACTCGTCGGCGACGTTCTGATCGTAGAGGTCGCCGACTTCCTCTTCTGACAACGGGTCGGGCTGCACCATTGGACTCATGTCCTTCACCTTTGTCACCTTTTTCCCATGTCCTATCAAAGCCTGCATCTGCTCCAGGTTTTCCTGGGACACTCCTGCCTGAAGAGCTGCCGTCACCACTCCAGGATCGAGCATAGGGAAAGCAGCAGCCGCATCTGCAAACGTCACTCCAGAAGCAGAAGGCTTGGATGCCTTTGGTCTTGCTGTAGCCTTGAGGACTGGCTTCGGCTTCATCGCCGCTGCGCCCTTGGTCAACTTCTTCATCTCGTTCAGGACTTCGACCATCGTCTCCTCCACTCTCGAGACCCTCTGATCCATCATTTGCAGCGAATGAGCTGGAGAACCAACATCTGCTTCGTCCATGGGAACACCATCGACATCGTCTCCCGTGATGCTGGGCTCCGTAGTCCCTCCATCGGCAGAGAAAAAGGCGAAGTGCTCGTTGGCAACGTCCACCAGTGCTTGCGCCATGGGGAGCAAGAAGAAACCCGTTGTGTCGTCGAAGGAGTACTCGACATCGAACTCCTCCAGTACCTCGATGTGCTCCCTGGCAGCAGGTTTGAGAAAACCAATCCATACCTTCAAGGTACTATCTCTGTACTGCTCTGCAAGGTTGGAAGGGAGAGCAGCCGCCACCTCGACAAGCGTAGGCTTGTGCAGGCTCCTCGAAGGGAAAATGCGTAGAGCCACCGTTCTATGCCAAACAGCGGAAGGAATCGCCACCAGCAACTGGCCGCTGAACTCACCAATCTGAATTAACTGCAAAGTCGGGACGTTGGTGTCAAGGTCCACCACAAAAAGTCCCACTGGATAGTCTGAATTCACCGCACCCTCTTCAACGATGTAGGGTGGCCTGTCCGACGGCCAAGCAGGCTGTCGGAAGCAGCTCATGCCTCAATCACTGAAGGCCAGGTGAGCTGTGCTGCCTGCACTACCCTCCTAGCTTCTCGCTCCGAGGGAAGCCCCACGAAGACACTGTCTCCACACTCGTGGTTCGTCGGCTTGCAGAGCAACTTGCAGCTCGTCCACGATCGCACCACTTTCACTGGAGTGTAGATCTGCCCTGCGTAATCTCTCACGATTACCCAGATGCGAGAGGGAAGCGGGATTTTGTCTCTTCCGCTCGCCCCCCGATGTCCACCACTAATACTCCGGGCCAGAAACCTGCCAATCTGATCGCAGATCTCCTCCCTCTCAAGCCAGGACAAAGTTGCCGTCGAAGGCGTAGGAGCCACCGAAGGCGTCACCGAAGACACTGCAGGTCCGGGCACAAAGGGTCGCTGCTCAGGTGATCTCGGCTCTTCACTGGTTGAATACCCTGACGAGCTGCGTCTCTGAACCAGCCTATCCACTGACTGCGAGGTAGACCTCGAATCACTCACTTGATCTTCTCCTCCGTGAACAGAGGATTGAAGATCTTTCACCACTTTCCAAAGCTGTTTGATCTGCGCTCGCAGATGGGCCACCTCGTCTTGGAGCTCTATGACGACGTCCTCCAAGGCGTGGTCTCTGCGCATCAACACAGTTTGTACAGTGATTTTCCCAAGCTGCGAGGCCTGCAAGGCCTTTCAGGATCCCGTAGGCGCTCAGCCCACTTCAGCACACACCACTTTGTGGTAAACCAAACCTCCAGGAGCAGGTAGATCAAGATCCCGCAGCAGAGACCTAAGACAAAGCTGACGCCGTCCAGGCGCCACGAGGCCAGGGCCGACAAGTCAGCGCGGTCGGCCCAGGTCAGCAGCTTATATGCTACGGCAAGGGAACTTCCGGTGCCCAAACCGTTGGTGAGCCCATGCATGAGCCAAGATGTCTCAAGCACCAAGGACACGTAAACATCCAGAGCATATATATACTGTATATTATTATTGCTTCCGTGATTTCCTGTGTGTTCTCTGGTCAAGCTATTTCAAACCCTGGATACTGGGGCGAGGTGACCCTTCGAGTATACACTGCATGCAAGCTTGTCTCCATCCCAGCCGAAGGATTAACTCTCTCCCTCTATCTCCCTCTATCTCCCTCCCTCCCTCCCTCGCTCGCTCTCTCTCTCTCTCTCTGTCTTTCTTTCTTCATGGGGGCCAAAGGATGAAGTAGACAGGCTTTTTGAGCAGGCTGGGCCCTGATGAGCTGCAAACAAGTGAAGAATCAAACAACGAACGTTCCATAAGGCAAGAATAAAGTTTGAATGCTGCATATCAAAAGATATCAAAAGCACGCGGGCCAAGCTATGCTAGCTGCTCTATTAGCTCAAGTTGATGGCATCAATTTGCATCTCGAGTTGGTCGATTCAATAGCTGGTCAACCAAGCAAATAAAAGAAACTATATAATAAGGATTAAACATCCGTACAATATCAAATCATATCACACTACTCCTCTCCAATTATATCATTCCATCATAATTGTAATCTATAATAATCCATTGATATCCATTGTATAATTTAGTTCTGGAATTGTGAAGGTTTGGGGCCCGAAGCACTGCGTAAGGACAAGCTGCGCCATCACAAACACAAACATCATAGACCCGGACCTCACAGTTGCCTGAGACGAGCAACACATTAAGCAAACCAGGCAAAATCCTGATATGGCCTGACATGTGATATGTCCTGCTCAAATACCCTTGCATTGCTCTGGAATGCTCTGGCTGTAAGCGTACTGAAATTTGCATGTTTTGTATTGTTTTGTCCTCTTTTGCTCATTTGTCATATCATTTTGCAAGACTCTGCCGAGGTGCTGAACTCAGATGCCTGTGGCTGTCCCAAAGGTCCACGTTCAAGCTCCCGCAAGAAGCCTTTGTGGGTGACGATGCAAACGCTGTCGGCATCTGTTCCCTGCAGAAGCTTCCTTGGTTTCCATGTCGGAAATGTTTTTGGAAGTGACACAAGGGAAGAAGAACTCAAAAAGACCTGTAGAAGGACTGGTCTCGGAAGAGACTGCTCATGAACCAACACAAAAAGACATGCTATGATGAGTAAGACATAGTAAGACCTTATCCGATCTTATCCCCTCTTGTACGCGATCACCGTCCAAGTCTCCCCAGGCCAGCTGTCCGCTTGCGCAACATGAACCTGAGCGGCTGTCATGCCAGCTTGGGTTCAGAATGGTTCAGAGCAAGTCAGTGCAGGACATCTGTGCAGAAAAAAACGAATTCGAACGATTTCGAACGACATCACTGCATCATACTGCATAACTCTGCACAACTGTCTTTTGCTTATTGGCTGCTTAGAAGATCCAAGAGGCTTCTCTTCAATCAGTGGCCAGGTGTGGAATCGGCGAAAGATCGGAGGTTCAAGCTCGACCTCTTGCTCCACATTGCAAACCGCGTTGTCATCGTCATCATCTTGCATTACTTGGTCGAAGCTCCTAGCACTGCACATTTTCGATTGCGGTTTGGTCTATGCCGTGGTGGAGAGGCAACTACAAGAATCTTGGCGGATTTGTGAATCTGCGATCTGCAACTCATCCTGTTTATCTGCCACTGTTGTTTTCTACTCTTGGTGGATTAACAAGACTCCCCTGTAAAATCGTCATGCAGAAGCTCTTGGTGGAAGAGTGGATGGAAATGCTTAAGCAAACCCAAGATGTGCAATGCATGTACCTCATAAGATTTGGCCAAGATTCATGTGGCAAAATGATTTGCGGCTTTGCAAGGAGGGCACTTCACTCCTGCAAAAACTAAAGATTTGCCAATGTTCGGATTTTTGAGATATGAAAGAATCTGAAAGATAGAGGGGCGTCATGTGTTTCAACAATTAAGGTAAAGATATCAGGCCAAAATAGCAGCTTGCACCACCCCACTTCCATGACATTTTTTCCAAGACAAGATTTGGCTGATGCGAAAGAAACACTTGGTCACTCTGGGCCTGCAACGCAGCTCCCAAAGGCCAACATCCAATTTCAGTACCCACTTTAAATCAAAGTCATAAAAATTGCCGTCTAGGTTACAGGTATCATCATAAGAGGGCCGTGAGTCTTTGATTGTTATCAATTTGACATCCATTCTGTTGTGCAATCCAGTTTGAGCTCCTCTCATCACAAGGAAAGCCTGTGCACCTCTCACGCAGGAGATCACACACGTGGACTTCATTGTGTTTCGGAAACCTCGGAGTTTTGCGCCAGAATGCAAAACCAGGTTGTACTGCGCAATGTTCATGGATGAAAAACATTGGATAATGATGGATAATGGATAAAGAGGACGAGGAATCTGAGACGTCCCCCTTGGCAAATCATGGATCTCATCACGAAATAGACTTGACCTCCGTCACTCCAGCCTGGCAAAATATGGATCTTGGCCATCTCCAAGTGTCTGCAATGATTTAAGATGATTTAAGCATTTTAAGAATAAAATATGCCAAAATGATCCAAAATGCACCCGCCAACACGGAGCGACAAGAAATGACAAGAAGATACGAGAGGCATGAGCGCAGCTGTCTGGAGAGCCCGTTGCAAAGGTGAAACAAAGACTGCTTCTGGTGCTTTCAAGTCGGCATCTTCATCCACGATCTTAGACATCGTCGTTGCCTCAGAAATGTCAGGCTTCTCCCGCCAACACTGCTAACATGGCCCTAGGACGCTAGGAGGGACTACGAAAAGTACAGCAAGTACTGTCTACTAGAAGACGTCTACCAAAAGACAGCTTACCTTGTGTCTTGAAGAAGAAGGAGGAGGCGGAGAAGTCTTCTGCAGCTAGGAGGCTGTGATTCCTGCTTGTTCATGCCCTTTGGCTGACAACCTTATGTCAGGAGCAGGGAAGGGATGTATAGCGGCTGGGCAGGGAAACACCAAATGCGTAGAGAACCTTTGGATGATACTTGGTTTTTAGCTGGTTCCTTCAAAATGGGGAGGCAAAGAACCGGCTGCAGACTTGATACATGAAATTGGCGAGCTCGCGGAATACTATCATTATCCAATAAATGTATATGATAGCTTTGGGTTGCCAGAGCCCAAAAAAGCCAGGAAGCGGTGCATCCTTCAATCCCTCATCTGTCAACACAGATCTCCTCGCGATCCTTGCCCCAAGCGCAGGATGGGCTCAGGACCGAGGAGCACAATAGCCACAGAATCCCACGGAACACAAAAAAACACACAACTTGGAACCTTTTGAACTTACAGTTGTGTATCTTAGTATGCATTACAAGTATGACTTAGAATGTAAGTTTCTGTAGGTCTTGCAGTTCGGCCATCGCTTGACTTTATTGGCCCCCACTTTCCCATGACATCACTGAGATTTGTGCAAAGCTTCTCCAAGGCTTCTCTCTTCACATCCTCGTTGGGGAAGTCTCTGTTCGCAAGAGTTGCAAGGGCTTCTTGCCTCAGAGCTTTGGAACATTTTGGAACCCAGTACAAAACACTCACTTTCTGTCACGTGCAGCTTCCATCACTTACCATTATCATGAATAGGCAAGCGAGGCAGAATTCAGGGAGCCACAAGGCGGACTTCTCCGCAATGTTATGTAAAGCTTCGCCATGACGCACCAAAAAGACCTGAAACGGCAACGGTCCAAGTTCAATGTGGGCCCGCATCGATCCGGTGTGATCGGTACACGGAGCGACGGAGTAGTTCCCGTAGAATGTACTGAAGAAAAGGATCTCGTTCTACTAGAGCGTATAAGTTATACAAGCAGGTTCTGTGGATTTTGGGGTTTCTGGTTTCTTACAGTCACTAGGGCACAGACTGTCTTACGGATGGGCGTCTCAGGCAAATCCAGCGGAGATCCATAGGAAGACTGCGGGGTTTCAGGAATATCACAGCTGTCCGTCAAGTCGATCGTCGAGAAGCCTCGGGATGCACACACTTGAGACGGATGGCCGCGTTGACAGAGTAACCTTTTCAAAATGCGAAAACTACTTGGTTTGGCAGCATTGAATATGTACAAAACATGATTACAAACAATCACAATCAATAAAATATCAATGATTGGCGGGGTCATTGGGAGGGAGCTAACAATGGATCATGGCAGTGTACAGCACAATTGCACAGCACATAATTGTTAGGTTCCTGCTGGTTTCATCAGAAAGTCAGTAACAAACGCCTGACCATTGTTTTTACGTAAACTCAGGTTTCAGCTGAACCGTGCGGCTGGGCAGCTAGTCGACACTTGGCATTTCATTTCATCCCGCCAACTTACTTTCATCTTGCGGTATCTCTTACCGATCTGTTATGTACATGGCGGAGGCTTCAAGCGATTTGAGCACAAAACGCTGCGATGGTTTATGGATGTTTGTGGCATAGAAGGAGGAATCACACACATAGAGAGAGAGAGAGTGTTTTACACCATATATATATATGTGTGTGTGTATGTATGATATTATATATTCATATCTTTCCAATAGTACCGCACGAGGCGGTGGCGGAAGTTTCAAAAATATAAAACCTATAGGGGAGCGTGGTTGTTGTGAATCATGGGATG